TTTCTGCTTTTTGCACTGCGGATTCTGCCATCCAGTTCTTCAGCACGTATCTAGGATTAACAGTTGTCATTCTTTTTCTTCTTTCAGAATCTGAATCATTCATGTTACTCTTCAGTCTCAAAAGGTACTGGGACACCCAGGCAGGAAGTAGTTTGTGCTTTGAGATCATTTTCGGTGCCCAGAATTGCTGAGCTCCTGTAACTGGCTTTGAGTGATCTCACTGAGCTGCCGAAATGTCATTGTAAAGTTAGCTTCTGTCTCTTCCATGAGATGTAAAAGAAATGCAATTAAATCATCATCACCCTTGCTTTTTCCAAGTAATCCCAATTTGGCTTTGAATAATTCTCTAAATCTTGTATCATAAAGAATGGGATACCCCTCAAGAATCTGAGCAGCAAGTTGCTTTTGCCTAGGATCCAGTAATGGGTTTAGAGCTTGTAACAACTTGTTTAAATTAAACATTCCAGCATTAGCCTGGTTTCCTATTTTTATCTTCTTTCATCATCAGATGTGTTTGGTACAAAATCTGGATTATAGGCGTCCATAAAACCAAATGGACCATAGTCAATTGTAATGGATAACAAACTGAAGTTATCAGTATTACAAACACCATGAGCAAAACCAACAGACATCCACAAGGCAATAAGCTGTGCCGTCTCAGACACCACAGTAGAAAAAAAAATCCAAATATCTGTTAGGTTCCTTGACACCTACTGAGGGGAAGTGTTCCTGTATGATGAAGTCTAATACCATCCTTAGTAAATCCAATTCACCATAATGATCCAAAATTTCTAACGATCCAGTTCTAAACCATGATTTTGCAACACGCAGCACTACTGCACCTTGTTCTTTCACAACGTTTCCATTGTAGAACTGATCTGTCCATACTGCATCATCACTTACAACCGGACTTGCAGCTCTGCTAGTGGGAATTCTGAGATAGTACATAGCCTCACTACACAAAAATTCTCTCATGGAGGAACGAAGCACAGCTCTGCCGTCGCCATTTCGGGAGTATGGGGTTTTTCCTGAGCCTTTTAATTGGAGCTCCCACTTTTCACCCTGTCTGTTCATGTAAATTCCAATAAGATGGGCTCTTCCATCCCTGAGCTGATTTGCCCATATCCCAAACTGGTGGCCCCCATATCTGTGAGCCAATGGAATGGATCCAAGTACTATCTTTTTGCCACTTACAAGCTGGATAAAATCATCTGTTTCTGAGACAGATAAATCAAAGTCCAAAATATCTTCTAGCACTTGCTTTGAAACTGCTACAAGATGTACTCTTGCTTTGAAAGGAGTGGGGAAGGCAATTGAAAAAACACAGTTTTTCACTTTACGCACATAATTTTCTTTAACAGGATCAATTGGCAACACAGCTATAAGGTTTTCAGAGGAGAGCGTCCAAAAGTCGAGACACGAGGCTAATCTAACTTCTCTTTCTCAATAGCCCTGCTCGGGGTTTGACTTGTTACTGTAAAGGTGCAAAAGGCTGGCACTTCCTTCAAGGCCAGGTCGCCATAAGGAGCAGACGATGGCGTGGCAGTTAACACCCAAGAGAAACAGCCGCGGAAACTGAAGCCTTCGGATTAGGCAGCAAAACGGGAGCCCGATCCTTCGCGTCCTACTTCTTCCTAAATACGCAGAAGGAAAGTTCATGATTGTTCGTCGGGCGCCCTGGGGCATTTCTAGATGACAGCCGGTCTAACACGGGTGCATTTTTGCGGAGATTGCCTGAGGCACCAGCTGGGCGGGGTCGGGGGAGGCCGCTCCCCAGGAGGAAGATCACGCTGGATTCTCCAGAGCCAGCCGTGGGTGGGCGGGTTACGAGGGGGTCCAGCCGCCCCACCGCCGCTCAGTCCCCTGCGGCCCCTCCTCCACCTCCCGGGCGGGAAGCGCCCTCGGGAGGTCTGGTTTTTATGTTTTTTCCCCTGTAACTGATTTCTAATCTCATAGCGTTGTGGTCAAAAAAGGTGCTTGATATGATTTCAATTTTCTTAAATTTACTGAGGCTTGATTTGTAACCCAAGATGTGATCTATCCTGGAGAACGTTCCGTGCGCACTTGAGAAGAAAGTGTCATCTGCTGTTTTTGGATGGAATGTCCTATAAATATCGGTTAAATCTATCTGGTCTGTTGTGTCAGTTAAAGCTTGTGTTTCCTTATTAATTTTCTGTTTGGATGATCTGTCCATTGTTGTAAGTGAGGTATCAAAATCCCCCACTATTATTGTGTTACTGTTGACTTCCTCTTATATAGCTGTTAGCAGTTGCCTTATGTATTGAGGTGCTCCTATGTCGGGTGCATATATATTTATAATTGCTATATCTTCTTCTTGGATCGATCCCTTGATCATTATGCCGTGTCCTTCCTTGTCTCTTGTAACATTCCTTATTTTAAAGTCTATTTTATGTGATATGAGTATTGCTACTCCAGCTTTCTTTTGATTTCCATTTGCATGGAATATCTTTTTCCATTCCCTTACTTTCAGTCTGTATGTGTCCCTAGTTCTGAAGTGGGTCTCTTGTAGACAGCATATATGTACATCTTGTTTTTGTATCCATTCAGTGAGCCTGTGTGTTTTGGTGGGAGCATTTAATCCATTCACGTTTAAGGTAATTATAGATATGTATGTTCCTATTACCATTTTCTTAAATGTTCTGTGTAATCTTGGCTATAGGTTCTTCCCTTTCATCAGTTTAAATACATCATGCCACTCCCTTCTGGCTTGTAGAGTTTCTGCTGAGAAATCAGCTCTTAACCTTGTGGGAGTTCCCTTGTATGTTATTTTTTGTTTTTCCCTTACTGCTTTCAATAATTTTCCTTTGTCTTTAATTTTTGCCAATTTGATTACTATGTGTCTTGGCATTTTTCTCCTTATGTTTATCATGTATGGGACTCTCTACACTTCCTGGACTTGGGTGGCTATTTCCTTTCCCATGTTAAGGAAGTTTTTGAGTATAATCTCTTCAAATAATTTTTCTCTGTTCCTTTCTCTCTCCTCCTTCTGGGACCCCTATAATGTGAATGTTGTTGCATTTAATGTTGTCCCAGAGGTCTCTTAGGCTGTCTTCATTTCTTTTCATTCTTTTTTCTTTATTCTGTTTCACAGCAGTGAATTCCACCATCCTGTCTTCCAGGTCACTTTTCTGTTCCTTTGACTCAGTTATTCTGCTATTGATTCCTTCTGGTGTATTTTTCTTTTCAGTTACTGTTATTGTTCATCTCTGTTTGTTCGTTCTTTAATTCTTGTAGGTCTTTGTTAGACATTTCTTGCATCTTCTCTATCTTTGCGTCCATTCTTTTTCCGAGGTCCTGGATCATCTTCCCTATCATTATTCTGAATTCTTTTTTTGGAAGGTTGCTTATCTCCGCTTCATTTAGTTGTTTTCCTGGGGTTTTATCTTGTTCCTTCATCTGGTACATAGCCCTCTGCCTTTTCATCTTGTCTATCTTTCTGTGAATGTGGTTTTTGTTCCACAGGCTGCAGGATTTTAGTTCTTCTTGCTTCTGCTGTCTCAGTATTTTTAAAGTTGGAATTTCTGTATACTATAGTAGGTTTTTCAAAGTAGAATATATACTCTGTATGTATATATTATGTATATAATGCAGGAGTCTTATATTATGATAAAACTATATGTAAAAATGAATTCCAAAATTCTATACTATCATTCAATTGAGAATAGTTTCTGCACTGGGAAACCCAGTATAGATAACAAGCAGGAAAGTTAAGTTCAAATTAATTCAGATCTCATAGGATAGCAAAAGGTAATAGTCCATTATGATGTTTTTGCCTATATATTTCTCCAAGCATGACAAGTACATGCCAACCATTGTCGTAAGCAACTTTTTATTCTATTTCTTCATTGTTAATGTACTTTATTTAAGGGTACATATTTTCTTTGTACCTATATATCTTCTTTTCTTTGTCTTCTGCATCAAATCCAAGGACACTGTCTGCCTTTAACCAAACAAACAAAGAAACCTGTTAGCAGAGCTTTTATTTTAAATGTAAGGCAAAATGAAATGATTGTAAAAATCCAGCCATTGCCATTAACAGAATAGTGTCCTTATATTAGTGGATATTTAAAGGGTAATATATATAAAATATATATATAAATATAGTGGATATTAAAAGGGTAGTAAGAGGTATTTGTAAAGATTGTGGTCAAAGAGACCAAACAAAAAAAAAAAA